CCTGGGCGCCGGTCACGGCGAGCGGCTCAGGGCCATGGGCACCGGTCACGGTGAGCGGCTCGCGCTCGGAACCGGGAGCACCGGTCACACAGAGCGGCTCGGGGCCGGGGGCACCAACGCGGCCTCCAGGCTGCAGAGGGGACTCGCTGGTCGCAGGGAGGCCGCAGGGGGAGGATGCTGCAGCCAAACTCGTGCATTGCTAAAACAGCGCCCGTTTTGAGCTCAGCTGAGCCATGCATGGCCATCCAAAGCCCTCCGAATTTTCTCCTTTATACCATTTTACACTTAACCCCGTTTATTTTACACACACTGCCCAGGGACACCTGATTAAAAGTGATGGTCCCATTTCATTGTGAAATGTTTGGGCCCCATTCACAGTGTCTCTTGAAACTGCAGCTAATCCCTTGTTTTCCATCTAGTTTCTCACTCCTGAGAGCCTAAGGGGGGAATAAAAATCAGTTCTGCTTTAGCACTTCTGCACTGCAGGATTTTTCATATACCTGCAAGAAAATCCCCCTCAGCTCATATGTTATGACTTGACTTTTATAGTATCTTTACATATTACTCCACTGTAATTCTACTCTGAATGAGTGTAGAGTTGAGTGAATAAAGAGCTAAACTTTCCTTGTATTAGAGCCTCTAAATTCATTTATTGGCCTGGCTCTGCGTGAATCACCATAAGCAGTTTTAATAATGAAAACAACAAATGAGACTTCGCTAAAACAACTCTGCAGCATAATATTTTTACTCAGCCATCTTCTTTGCTCTATTTTAGTGATTGGAAAAAAAAAAAAAACACTCCCCCATCAAAAAAATAATAGAAAATCTTTCTTGTTCACGCACAGACTTAAGTTCCAGACATTTTCTAGTCAGGGAAGTTGAGCACGTTCATACAAGACTATTTTGACATAGAACCTAGAGGCACTCTCGAAAGATGTTGTTTTCCCATCAATCAAAAAATAATTTCCAGTTTGCTCTTTGCACCTCCACGGATTAACATGTGCGAGGCAAAACACCACAGTAACATCACTGGAATTGGGAAAGTAAATTCTGCCCATTAACAAATATAATAGCATTAACTTTTCCCCCTGTTAGAAAGAAGATAAGCCTTAAAAGAACTTCTCAGTGAGGAAGGGAGAGATGGCAAAGATACCAGACTGAAACAGTAAAAAGAAACTGCACAAGAGAATGTACAGCCAAATACCACATCCGTACATCATGTGAATTGCTAGTAAATAAAGTGCAGAAAAAAAAAAAAGTGCTAGAGGGTTTTCTGGTAAAATGGGGCCTGGATCACTTCCAAGAGGCCCAAAAGTGGGGTCATTAATCAAAAAAGATGAAAATCCCTGAGCCACCCAGTGCACTCCTAACAAGAAAAAAAAAAGAGTTGTATTTTTTAGTTCTTTGTGCTGCTAAATGTCCTTTAGCAGCTTGGCTATCAGCCACTGCAAATCCCAGCCCGGTTTGCCCGTGTGGTTTCTGAAGCGCTGTGACCTGTGCGCCCCGGTGCACGATGTGCGCAGGGCTCTTTGTGCTTGCCGGCTCTGCCAGCCCGCCCGGGAGCGGAGCCCCCCTCTTGGT